AGGATTTTGCCTACGTCGCAGAAAGGCTAAACATCACTCTGGAAGGAAGAACAGACGACAAAAGAAAGGTATTGTCAGAATACTATTCTGAGACGGAGAACGACCCGGAACTTGTCGGGATCTGGGTCGAGCTGGAGGCAGCATACACCGAGAAAACAGCCCCAAGCATCACATTGACTCCCGCCGAAGGGGAATATCTATTGGCAAGCCTGAGCATCGACAACATGCAAAAGGAGGCACAAAAGAGGGAGCCAAGCCAGGAGAGGAAAAATACAGAGTTCGCACAGAAAACAGCAGCACCGGTACGGACTCCGACACCCAGCCAACCAGATTATGCAAAGGTTGCGAAACAAGTCCGCGAATGGTCGTTTAAGTTCGACGGAATTGAGAAACCGTTCGAGTTTCTGGAGCGAGTGGAGTGGTCCGTAAATACATACGGCCTGGATTTGGATATGATTAAAGCTCATCCAGAGCTTTAACACATACTTCCTGCCGAGAGACTTCTTCTCCACACTTTCGGACAAAGTCAAGCAGAGGAAGCAAGGCTACGGGGAGACGTTTAAGGACTACATGATCGACATACAGGCAATGATGAGGCCACTTAATTATTCGCCGACAGAGGCCCTCACCATCATCCGCCAGAACTGCACACCGAACCTAAAGATCGCCCTCAGAGCATACACAGTGGCAGACCTGGATACACTCATGGACCTAGCCGACGAGTTTGAGGAACTGGAGAAGGAACGGGAGACATTTGCCCAGGAGAACAAATTCGCCAGGGCAAAACCAGCAGCTCAGGCACAAACGATGTGCAGACGGTGCGAGGACACTGGCGACCAGGAACCCCGTGGGAACAGTCAATGGACACCGCCCCTACAAGACCACCGACAACAGGCAAACAACCCACCGTATGAACACCAGCGGCCGCCGATACAACACCAACAGAGGCAGCCAACAAACCCCTTGTGGAGGCCACCAATCACAACGCAGAGACCACGGGAGAGTACCCACATCACAGACCCCCAGGAGGCCTGCCGAAAGTGCGGCGGTCACGGGCACTGGGAACGCGGCTGTCGAAACCAGCGCCTGTTGTTCTGCTGGGTGTGCGGCAAAGTGGGTATCAGGAGCGTCGAGTGCTGCCAAAGAGTGGGAAATGGTCAGCGATCTCAGCCGCAGAGAGGCGGGCGGGGATCGCAAAATGCTTCCTCTCCAAACTAACTGGCAAGCTGATCGAGGAGGAGCAGCAGTTGTCCGCAGCGGTAACGATAGGTGGAGGCACGTATAAAGCCACAATCGACACCGGGGCAACAGCGAGCTTCATAAGCGAGGAACTGGCGGACAATCTGGCTGCTCTCGGGCAGATCACAAGGACAAGACGGCAAGTTAGGTTGGCAGACGGGAGAAGCGGCGAAATCAGTGCACAGCTGGAGGTAGAAATCGCATTCGGAAACAAGCGATTGACCATGAGCCTGCTGATACTACCAGGGGTAGTGGATTCGTTGGTGTTAGGATGGAATTTCCTCACGCGAGTCGGAACCGTAATAAAGTGCGCCGGACACGAGATCACAATACCGGCCAGGAACCGACACAATGGGTGGCTCGAGGAAAAGCTATCGGTGGCAGTCGTTCAACACACAAGCGAGGATAACGACACAGCGAAATTCCTGGAGGAACAGCTAGCCGACTTCAACACCATGACGGGAACGTCGAACATGGCCGAGCATCTGATCACGATGAAAGACGACAAACCAATCAAGCAACGATACTACCCCAAGAATCCCAAAGTTCAAGGGGAGATCAATGCCAAGGTGGATGAGCTTCTCGAAATGGGGTATATAGAGCACTCAAAGAGCCCATACAGCTCCCCCATCGTAATGGTGAAGAAGAAGACGGGCAAATGGAGACTCTGTGTCGATTTCAGGCAGATCAACGCAAAGTCGATAAAGGATGCCTACCCAATGCCGCGCATAAATTATATCCTCGACCAACTGCGAGAAGCGAGATTCATCAGCAGTTTGGACTTGAAGGATGGGTACTGGCAAATCCCACTGGAGGAAAGCAGCAGGCAATACACGGCTTTCACGGTGCCCGGAAAAGGTTTGTTCCAGTGGAAGGTTATGCCTTTCGGTCTCCATTCAGCATCCGCGACTTTTCAACGAGTTTTGGACCAAGTAATTGGTCCGGAAATGTCACCCCACGCTTTCGCCTACCAGGACGACATAATAGTGATCGGACGCACGCTAGAAGAACACAAAGCGAACCTGAGAGAAGTGTTTCGGCGGCTGAAAGAAGCAAATCTGAGGCTAAACCCAGACAAGTGCCAATTCTTCAAGAAGGAACTGTTGTATCTAGGCCATCGAGTGACCAGCGAAGGAATAGGCACGGATCCGGAAAAGGTAGCAGCCATCGCCGAACTAGAACCACCATCCACAGTAAGAGAACTCCGACAGTACCTGGGCGTAGCATCGTGGTACCGCCGATTCGTACCTGATTTCGCGAAAATAGTCAAACCACTCAACGATTTGCTACGCAAGGGCAACAAGTGGGTGTGGACACCGGAACATCAGAAGGCATTCGAAGAGGTCAAGGCAAGACTCGTTGCAGACCCCGTATTGGCGTGCCCGGACTTCGACAAACCGTTCACCCTGCAGACGGACGCGAGCGACTACGGCATCGGGGCAATACTAACCCAGGAAACGGAGAAAGGCGAAAAGGTAATCTCTTACTCAAGCCGAACACTCAACGGCGCCGAGAAGAATTACTCGACGACTGAGAAGGAGTGCTTAGCAATCGTCTGGGCGATCCGGAAGCTAAAGCCATATCTGGAAGGTTACCACTTTAAGGTAGTAACCGACCATATGGCCCTGAAGTGGCTAAACAGCATTGAGAGCCCTTCAGGAAGGATCGCCAGATGGGCCCTGGAGCTACAGCAGTACGACTTCGAGATATCGTACCGGAAAGGACAGCTCAACGTGGTGGCGGATGCCCTGTCAAGACAGCCACTACCAGAAACGCTTCGAGGGATCAAGGAGACATCGGCGGCGGAAGCATCTGCAGCATGCAGCTGGACTCAAGGAATGCGCGAGAAGATTAAGACCCAACCGCAAAAGTACCCGGACTACGTGATGGAAGGTGACACACTATACAGAAACATACCACACCGAGCAGGCAGCGAGGATGTCGCAACGTGGAAGATGTGCGTCCCTAAAGCTCTAAGGGAAACGGTGCTAAAAGAGAACCACGACTCACCTTCAGCGGGCCACGTTGGAAGCCGAAGGACGATTGCACGGCTGGCAGCACGATATTACTGGCCAGGCATGCACAGAGATGCCCGAGCCCATGTGAGAAAATGCGAGATGTGCATGAGATTCAAGCCGAATCAAATGCAAGCGGCTGGCAAAATGCTAACGCAGGTGCCAGAGGAACCATGGGCAACGGTATGTGCGGACTTCGTCGGACCCCTGCCGCGTTCAAAGCACGGCAACCAAATGCTGCTAGTACTGATAGACCGATTCTCCAAGTGGACTGAGTTAGTACCACTGCGCAGCGCGACGGCCGAATCACTAAAGAAAGCTTTCAGAGAACGAATAATCGCAAGGTACGGGGTCCCAAAGGTGGTCATTACGGACAACGGAGTACAATTTGCCAGCCGAATCTTCAAGGGTTTCCTAGCCGATATGGGTATCAAACAACAGTTCACAGCTCCATACACCCCGCAAGAGAACCCGACCGAGCGAGCAAATAGGACTGTGAAAACAATGATTGCGCAGTTCGCCGGGCAGGACCAGAGAAATTGGGACGAGAAATGGCCGGAACTCATGCTGGCAGTAAACACCAGCGTTTCGGAATCCACTGGCTACACCCCGGCGTTTCTTACTCAAGGCAGAGAGCCCAGACTACCGAGCGCCCTATACGATCGAGAAAACTTGGGAACCGGACGAGCTACCGAAACGCCGGACGAAAACGCCAATAAACTCAGGGAGATCTTTCAGATCGTACGGCGAAATCTGGAAAAAGCCTCCCAGGATCAAGCCAGGCATTATAATCTAAGGAGGAGGCAATGGACACCAGCAGTGGGCGACATCGTGTGGGCCAAAGAACACCACTTATCAAAAGCGGCCGAAGGATTTGCAGCAAAGTTGGCCCCTAGATACGACGGGCCATTCCAGGTCGTGGATTTTGTTTCGCCTGTAATATGTAAAATACGCCATGTAAACACTAAGAAAGAGCGGACCATACATGTAAGCGAGCTTAAACAACAAGAAACAAGCGAGCGAACGCAACAGGCAGAAACAACAAACGAACAACAACATTGAAACTTCTCCAAGGATACTACCAGACCTCCAAGGACACTACGAGAACTCCAAGGATACTACCAGACCTCCAAGGACACTACGAGAACTCCAAGGATACTACGAAATCCCTCCAAGGACACTACGAGAACTCCAAGGATACTACGAAATCCCTCCAAGGATACTACGAAATCCCTCCAAGGATACTACGAAATCCCTCCAAGGATACTACGAAATCCCTCCAAGGATACTACGAAATCCCTCCAAGGATACTACCAGAACTCCAAGGACACTATGAGAACTCCAAGGATACTACGAAATCACTCCGAGGATTCTACAAAATCACTCCAAAGATACTACGAGGACTCCAAGGATTCTACGAAATCACTCCGAGGATTCTACAAAATCACTCCAAGGATGCTACAAGACTACAAGGATAATATGAAACTCAAAGGATAACTACAGGAAACTCGTCAGAAACAACAACCGAAGCATCCAAGAACTACTTTAGAACTGACCAAAGCAAGCGTGCGTTTGCATTTTCCCAAAGAAAGGGGGAAGACGGCACAAGAAACTGTACCGTAATGTCCGGACATGAATAAGGAAGGCGAAGGAAATAGCGGTATCTAACAAAAGGAAAGTCGCGAAACCGAGGCATCGTTAAAGAGAGCCCGGCTCCAGATAGTCAATCGAAAAAACACCAGCAACATGAGCACCCGCATCACCCGCAGCGAAGCCCGCAGGACCATGGAGAGCCAACAACCAGCCGAAGGATCCAGCCCGGGGCGAGGACGGTCGACATCCCGGCCCATCCGAGTCCCGCGGCGGATCCCGAAGAGAGGTGTTCCGGAGCCTGTCTTAAGCTCGGACAGCGACGTCCAGGTGGTAGATGACGAGCCGGGCAAACAAAGAAGATGGCGGATCCGGAGGGCGGTTGACCGCAGCAACGGCCAGATCCCGACAGGCAATGCCGAGGTGGAGTGGGCTAGCAAGGAGCCACCCCAGGACCAGCCGCCGGTCGGGGACCAGGCCGAGATGGCCAACGAAGAACCATCCGAGGCCCCAACAGCGCCGGACGAGCGAGGACCCACGCAGCCTCAGGATCGGCCGAAACCCAGCGACTATGCCGACATCATCATCGCGGCGACATGGGAGAACCGTCGACGGTGCGAGGAGTGGCGCAGGAGCGAGGAGCGGCGCAGGAGCGAGGAGCGGCGCAGGAGCGAGGAGCGGCGCAGGAGCGAGGAACAGCGGCGGAAACAGATGGAGGAGTCGCCAGAATGGCAGGCGCGACTGGAAGAGGCCGAGGAGGAGGAGCGGCAGCTATGGGAAAACCCGGGGTACCCGCCCACGCCGCGGTACATGCCCGAGCCCTGCGTCCAGCCGCCCGAAGTGGCAGTAGAATGGGCACCATCGCCGCCGCGGTGGATGTCCGAAGTGCCGCCGACGCCGCGGTACGAGGGGTCACCCAGGTGGAGGCCCGCACGGCCACCCACGCCGCGCTTCGAGCCGACGCAATAGCCCGAGATGCCGTCGACACAAGTCGAGGCGCCGAAGCCGCAACAGCCCGAGATGCCGCCGCCACAAGTCGAGTCGCCAAAGCCGCAGCAGCCCGAGACGCTGCCGCCGCCACAACCCGAGCCGCCACGGTCGAATCCCGGGGAGCACCATGTCCGCACGGACATCCCGGCGGCGCACGTGAGCCACAGTGCGCGCGCGTTTGTGATCGACGGTGTGCGGTGGCGGCAGCAGACGATCACCTGGACATGGCCGGAGGGACCCGCGGAGGACGCGACTGCGGGGGAAGAACCACAGATCTGGGAGGAGGTGGAACCGCGGGTGAGCCCAAGGGATCCGAGGGTCCGAGGCAGACCCGAGGCAACGGCGACGCAGAACCCGGGATCGACGACGCCGGCACCCGCAACACCGGATTCCTGGAAGCCACCGACGCCGAGCACCGGGCCAGCGACACCCGCGTCACCGTACTCAGGAGCAGCCGCAGACAACGCGACGAGACTGGCCGGTCAGCGGCCACCGTGGAAGCGGCAACATTCCGCGCCGGAGGTCGTCGGAGAGGCCGCGAGGCCGAAACTGATGCGGCAGACGTCGGCACCCGAGGGTCAGCGGTGGCGCGAGATCGAGAAGGACGAGTGGCCCGAAGGGATCGCAGACGTACAAGCGGTGAAGGAGGCCCGCATCCTGGGCGGAAGGCGCAGCGTGCGCGTAAGATTGGACGGGCGCGGGTTCCGAGTGAGGATTGGGCTCGCGGGCCTGAGGGTGTTTGAAGAACAGCGGCCATAAATAAATGATCCCAACGAAACACAAACACGAAACGGCGTAGATCGGGGGTGACGCGGCTGAAAACAGGGGGGGTGAAGAAAATGGGGCATACATGTCGGCATCACATCTGAAAAGAAAAAAAAAGGGAATGAAAATTTGCTGGTGGAACTTGAAAACAAACACCCCAATACTCACCTGTTGCCTCGTTTGAAATGCCAGTGTTGGGGCAATGTTGCCAGCACAAAACCCAGAGCCACTGGGGCACTAGCCAAGGGCAGATAGAGGGCGAAGGAGTGCTAGAAAGGAGATAGAAGGATGAGAGAGAAAGGAAACAAAAGAAGGTTAAAGAAACTTACCGAGAAAATGCCGAATCACCATGAACTAGGGACGGGGGCGCCTCGATAAGGCGGTCGATTAGCACTGGACGATAGTGCGATCGATGGGCACAAGCTAAATGGAAATATCATGGTGAATATCGCTGCGATCAGGTGGCAACGCTACACCTGCGATATCGATAGCGGATGATATCGATAGATCATGAATATCGGTTCCGAGCGGAACCAGATCGGAGATCGTCGCGGGAAATTCAAACTACGTGCCCGCTGGCATATCGATAGCCGATGGTTATCGATGCCCAGTGGGACCAGAGGGAGGATCGGCGCGGGAGTTTTCAAAATTGCTGCAGAGATGCCGACTTGCGCCGTAGAAACTCTCGGAGTTGAAAGCGTCGAGGAAGCGTCGAGGGAGCAACGATGGAGCAACGATGGAGCAACGAGGGAGCGCCGAGGGAAGCAGCAGAAGCAGGGCAAGGACTCAATGGCTAGGATACACGAGGAAACGCCGGAGAGTAGGAACGAGTTTTCTTTAAAACTTCCCGAAGTAAGGGGGGAATGTGAGGAGTTGAATAACTCCCCACAAATGGCAGCAACAACAATAACGGATCGCCGGCCGCATACCAGTTACGGCGAATTAGCGTAGTAGCGGCGCGGCGAAGAGAGAGTGGAGACTTCAAGGTGAAGAGAGAGTGGAGACTTCAAGGTGAAGAGAGAGTTTGGAGAGTGAGAGTCGGGAGAACAAGGGTGCAGAGAGAGAGAGAAAGTGGAGACTTCTCCGGCAGAGCGAGAGCGCCGGGTGCAAAAGGGATTAACGGAACAGGCGCCGGACTTTGGACTCTGCCGTGGACTTCGGACTAGGAGGTCAAGTGCCACATCTCGGCAACCAGGCGGCACACAGGCGTGCCACATGCACCATTGAAAGCAGCGGGACGACGGCAACAAGCAGAACAACAACTAAAGGCCGTGGGCGATGTGCAAAGGAGTCAATCAGGAACCTTGGACTTTGGACCTGCGTTGGAGAGTTGCCGCGGGCAGAGCGCAGAAGGAAATAACGGAACTACACCGGACTTTGGACTCTGCAGTGGACGATGGACAAAGGCCACATCTCCGCAACGGAGCAACACACAAGCGTGCCACATGCACCATTGAATGCAGCGGGACGGCAGCAACACGCAGAAATAAAAGCGGAGGCCATGCGTGAAGGACAAGTGGGTCAAACGGGAACCACGGACTTTGGACCCAGAGTGGAGAGTTGCCGCGGACAGAGCGCAAAGGGGAAATAACGGTACCCGGAGGCCCTATATAAAGCCGCCGGGCGCTGGCAGCAGGATCAGTCGATCACGAAGAGTCAATCTATCAAGATCAGTCCAGATAATCCACGTGAACAAGTCAGCCAGTACAGTGAACAGTCAGTGAGCAACGAAAGTCGAGTCGCCGGAAGCAACGCCGTGGGAACCTACAAGGATCGAGATCGCTACGTCGAGACGTTCGGGATTGGATCACCAGGAATCTCCGAATTGAGACACAGGTAGCTGAGGTCCAGAGGGCGTCACACGGCTAGGTCAAGGCGATCCGCTTTCATTCCTGTCTCAACGAAATCCTCGCATCTAGCTTGGAGCGTCGAACAGGTCCTGAGTGGTGAAAGCCTGCGACAAGAAATCGTGAGCTTGGGAAGATCCTATCCTATCGGCCAGAAGGGAGATCGGTCAATCGTCTGTGGTCTCGAGTGGAGCACTCCAGAAGAGCCCTGCGGTTTGAGTTGTGTAGTCCCGGAGCGGCGTGTGTCGGAACCCCGAGTGAAACGAGCCAGAAGGGAGATCGGTCGAGCGTCTGTGGCCTCAAGTGGAGAACTCCATAACAGCCCTACGGTTGAGTCGTGTAGTCCCGGATCGGCGTACGACCAAGACCCCGAGTACCAGAAGCCACGCTACGTCAAGCCAAGCAGCCACACACCACGACAGACCAACCTACGCGGAAACGTCAAGGACGATAAGCCAAAGGGTGAAGCTAGGGCGGAACGTTCGTTGGCACTAGGCGTAGAAGCGAAGTGAAGGGCTCGGCAGCATCCTTGCGTAACTTGGACTGCCAGCGCGATCTGAGTGGAACTCTAGTGGGACCATCCGGGACAGAGCAAGGGACAGACGGTGGTGCATCGAGAGGAGACACTCCTGGAGATCGCGACCTCTGTTCACCCTAGTCTGAGAACGGTGACGCTTCCCTAAACCCGCGCAGCTGAACTCTTGGCGAGTTTAAGACGCTACGAGTAGGGGTCGATTGTACACAGCCGAGACGAGCAACGCCAAGCATCTTCAGGGAGCCTCAGGGATCTTCAGGGAGCTGCAGAGATCGTCGAGGGAGCTACAGAACCGGAGCACTTCGTCAACGAGGAGAGCACCAAGTCATCAAGGCGACCAGGAATCATCGACGGCCACGAGTGTCCATATCAAGATCACTGTACTATCACCCCGCAATAAACCCACTAAGAACCCGTGAATTCTGTGCTTTCTCACTGATCTACTGGGCGGTCACGTTTATATAAATTTGGTGGGACGAACACACAACTATACTGAGCTAGCCGCACGAATCTTGTAGCGAGCAGACTTAAATAATCAGTTCGTTACAACATTCAATACAAACAAAACATGAAGACCCAGTATATAGGAAGCCATATAAATACCCTCAAACCTTTGATGAAGAAGTTAACAAACAAATAAATGAAATGATTGAACAGGGAATAATTCGTAAATCAAAATCTCCCTATTGTTCACCCATTTGGATAGTTCCAAAAAAGAGCGATGCATCAGGCAAAATGAAGTTTAGATTAGTAGTGGATTACAGAAATTTAAATGAGATCACTATCAATGATAAATTTCCGATACCCAGAATGGATGAAATATTAGACAAATTGGGAAGATGTCAATATTTCACTACCATTGATTTAGCTAAAGGATTCCATCAAATTCAAATGGAACCAGAAACAATAGCTAAAACAGCATTCTCAACAAAACACGGTCATTACGAATACACACGAATGCCATTTGGTCTTAAAAACGCCCCCGCCACTTTCCAAAGATGTATGAACAATTTATTAGAAGATTTAATCTATACAGATTGTTTGGTATATCTAGATGATATTATAATTTTTTCCACTTCATTGGAAGAACACATTTTATCATTGAAAAAGGTATTTCAAAAATTACGTGATGCAAATTTAAAATTACAACTAGACAAATGTGAATTCATGAAAAAGGAAACAGAATTTTTAGGTCACGTAGTAACTACTACAGGTATTAAACCAAATCCACAAAAGATAAGTGCCATTATAAATTTTCCAATACCAAAATCTCCAAGAGAAATTAAATCATTTCTAGGATTGTGTGGATTTTATCGAAAATTCATACCAGACTTTGCACATATCGTAAAGCCAATGACAGTGAAATTAAAGAAAGGCGCCACCATCAATACTAAAGACAAACCTTACATAGAAGCATTTGAAAAAATGAAAGTTTTAATTACTTCAGACCCAATTTTAATTTATCCTGACTTTAATAAACCAGTTTCTCTAACAACGGACGCAAGTAATATAGCTGTTATGCTAGCAGAACTCTTAACGAGCACGAAATAAATTACGCGACTATTGAAAAGGAACTTTTAGCAATCGTATGGGCTACCAAATATTTTAGATCATATTTATTCGGTAGGTCATTTGAAATATTAAGCGACCATAAACCCTTAGTTTGGCTAAATAATATAAAAGAACCAAATATGAAACTACAACGGTGGAAAATAAAATTAAACGAATTTGATTATCAGATTAAATATTTGCCAGGTAAAGAAAATTATGTTGCCGACGCTTTATCCAGGACCAAAATAGAAGAAAATATGTTTACAGATGATATTGAGGAAAATGTATTAGAAGAGACAGCCAGTAGTGTAAACGCAACAGTACACAGTGCGCAAGAAGATAGCCAGAATTATATTTCTATAACCGAGAGACCATTTAATTATTTTTCCCGACAAATTGAAGTAATTAAAGGAGATGAAGACAAAACAGAAGTAACGCATTATTTCCACAAATTAAAAATTCAAATTATTTATAAAGAAATGACGGAAACTTTAGCAAAAGAGATAATTAAAGAATACCTATGTACCAAGAAGAGCGCAATATATTTCCATAACGATTCAGATTTTCTTATATTCCAAAAAGCTTATGTGGAAATTATAAATGCAAGTCATTTGACGAAATTAGTAAGATGTACGGCAAGACTCGAAGACATACTAACATACGCAGACTTTAAAGAAAAAATATTGAAACGACACAAAGACCTCTTACATCCAGGAATCGAAAAAACTACTAAATGGTTTAGAGAAAAATATTACTTCCCTGATTATCAAAAATTAATCAGAATATAATAAATGAATGTGAAATTTGCAACATTGCTAAAACGGAACATAGAAATACCAAATTGACATTCGAACTTACACCAGAAATTCAAAATATAAGAGAGAAATTTGTCATGAATTTTTATATGGTGGGTAACCAACAATTTTTATCATGTATCGACGTTTATTCAAAATTTGCTACTTTAGTAGAAGTCACAAGTAGGGATTGGTTAGAAGCTAAAAGAGCTATCATGAAAGTATTTAACGAAATGGGAAAACCACAAGAAATCAAAGCAGATAAGG